AGTCCAGGTGGTTGAGTATCAGAGTGTTCCATCTCGTTTCCCTTTGGGGTTGCTGTAGGTGATCTAGAAGTCTGTTTTTGAGGCTTGTTTATGTGTCTTCTCATTTCCAGGGTGGGGGTGCTTCTGGCACCCACACAGCTCACCTACTCTGCCCTAGGAGCTTGGGATGGCAGCGGGGGAGCTTCCTTCCGGGTGCTGGGACTGGCTGAGCTTCATTGCCCTAGGAGCCTGGGATGGAGGCGGGGAGCCTTGATTCTTTTTTTTTTTAGGGGAAGGCAACGAGGCCCAGACTTTATTCACCTGGGTGCAGGTCGACTGAGGGCGAGCAACCTGTCAGTGGTGAACAAAGAACAGGCAGGGATTTTTATAGGGGATCAGGAAGGGGTCTGGCACGTACAGGGGTCGGAGCAAATATTTGTGGTCGGGGTCCATTCAGCGGTCAGGGCAGATGTGTGGGTGTTGTCGGGTGACTTGACACCAGGAAGACGTTGTGCTGTGCTTTGTGGTCTTTTTTTTCTGTAACACCCGTTCTGCGTTCTGTGTGTGAGGACACGCACAGCCTGTATCTAGGTGGAGACGGCAGGACGTATACCTGGTCTTCAGCCACCTAAGGAGTGTCTTTGCTGAGGGCTGTGGTTTTTTGTATCTGCTAAAACTGTAACTGTCCATGGGCACCTCGGCTGGCTCCATGTCTTCTTGGCTACTGTGAATTGTGCTGTAGTAAATGTGGGTATATGGGTATCCCTGTAGCATTCTGGTTTCCATGCCTTTAGGAATAGACCCAGGACTGCTAGACATCCAAAATGCCAAGTTTGTATTCTATAAACTTGAAGAATGAATTCTAGGAACAATGGAGGTTAAGAGTAGGAAGAATTTTTTTTAATTAAAAATTTTTATTAGCGCATGTTTGCAGTACATAATGATTACATTCATCGTGGGGTATTGGTACCTGTACATAACAAACACATCTTAATTCCTTTTACTTCCTCTTCTCTTCCTCATCTCCATCTATCTCTTGGTACCTTTTCCATTTGCAAAAAATCTAGCTCTCTGTTTCCTATTATCTATCTTTAACTTGCACTTTAAATTTTTTATACTTTGAGTTTGTCATATAAGAGAAATCATGTGATATTTAAACTTGTGTCTGGTTTATAGTATTTCATTTAATAGTATGGTTTCATTCTACAAATGACTCAAATTTATCCTTTAGAGCAGAGTCGTACTTCATTGTGTATAAATACCATATTTAAGAAGGATTTATTGAGAGAAAGATAGCTTCTGTCTAAGAGAGACAGAAGGGGTGATATAGGGGGAATAAATGTTACTCCCATCATGCTAGATGTCAGATATGCCGTGTTTGTCTAAGGAACAACAGAGGTTAAGAATAGGGAAATTTATTGGGGCATAAGAATTAGGAATAAGAACAGCTCCTGGTTGGGCCAGGGATTTAGCTCAGTGACACCACGCCTGCCTCGAAAACCCAAGGTCCTGAGTTTGATCCCTGGAACCAAAAAAAAGAATAGCTCCTGGGCGACATCAGGGGTCCCAAATGGGTCGTCCTAATTCTTTCCATCAAAACAGTAACACCTCCTAATGCCATAGCATTCTCATCACAATTTTGGCCAGAGCTTATTTCCTCCTAAATCGAACTGACGCCTGTAGGCAGAGCTTGTACAAACAAGAGCTACTTTCTCTTCATAGCACTACCCCAAATGCACCTTTCCAGAGATGTCTTTTGGTACTCAGCCTCTTAGATTTTACTATCATTATCATACTCTAAGTCTTTGCATAGTCCATCCAGTTCCTACGTCCCTTATTTCAATTTTTGAAATCTGAAAAGTGTTGAAAGCAACTTCCTTGTCTAACCCACTTATCAGTGAAATCTGAATTGAATTAAGGATATCCATCTTATACCCTTGATTCAAATGTTTGCATACTTTTGTTGCAGATGTGTTGATGTGTTGATTTCATTATTTGGAGCCTCCACATCATACTGTGTGCATTATGTAATGTATGGCATAGGCACTGCCCTACATTTCAAAAATTAAAAAAAAAATTAACTCACCTGGATTTGGATTTTTAAATTTTTAAAAATTTTTTTAAATTAAAAAAAAATTTAACTCAAAGGATTTGGATAAGAGATTGTGGACCAGTAGTTTAATGTTGCCTGATAACTTACATGATTTCCTGTTATGATTCAGGTAAAGTTGGGGGAAAGAAATAGCATTATGAAAGTTGGCAATCTCAACAGAAAACCAAGAGGCCTTTTCTACCTCATCATTTATTTGCTTTATAATTATTTAGGGAGAAAGTTTCTTAACCAAACAATACTTTTTTTGAATGTAGGGATCATATTTTATGTTTCCCCTCAAAGCTGTACAAATAGGTTCTCAAGAGATATTTGATTGATTTGAAAATATTTGCTTAAAATTCTAGAATTTTACTTGACAGATACAAGAGTTAGATTTCACTTTTAAAATGTCATGTTTATAATTCAAAGCTGTAGAGTAATTGCAGGTTTATCCTAAAGTAGGCTCATTCATTTGTTTGGCCGTTCAGTCATCATATGTTTCTTGAGTAACTACTATTGCTATGTACTCATTAGGCATAGGATTACAGGGGTAAATAAGATGGTCAAGGTCCTTGCCCTCGAAGAGTTTCTAGTCATGGTGAAGAAGGGGCAGTGAGTCACTAACAGATAGCTACTTGATCATTCTCCCTGCTATAAAGGAAATTAATGTGCTGAAAAGAATATGATGGTGACTGAAGTGTTAGTGAAGTCAGTAAAAGCCCCTTAGAGGAGATGGCACAGATTTGTGACATGAAGTACCTTTCCCCTCTGTTTCCAATATAGAATGATATGAGTAGCCAGACAACTGAGATTTATGTGGACATTTACCTTTTTGGCCAGTAATTTTGTTTCAGGTGTCATATCACTATATAGTCAGGTAGTGCTGAATGACAGGGACACATTCTGAGAAATGTACTATTAGATGATTTTGTTGTTGTGCAGATGTCATCGAGGCACTCATAAATTAAGATGGTGTGATGTCACTAGGTGATATAATCTTGTGGGACCACTGTCATATGCAGTCCATCATTGATTAAAACATTATTATGCAGCTTGTGGCTCAGCACATAACTTCAGGTTATTTGATGGTGTGAGTAAACCTTAATCAGGTATCTAAAACATCATAAACTGACATATAATTTAACTAACACCAATTAAATTCCTTGGTAGTCTGAAAAGGACTAACAGTACCATGGTAGAAGAGCATCTTACATGTTCTATGTACATGTCACAGAGGAAAGTTCATGTTACTGTACATTACAGACATCAATTTACCTGTACAGTTTTTTTCTTTGTAGTTTCCCTAATGGTTGGGAGTGTATTTGATTTTAGCATGGCATCAAACACATAATAGTAACCTTCTAGGGTATTATTTTGATATTTTTCTGGGGCAGAAAATTGTTAAGAAAACACTTCAAAATTTATGAATGCCGGTTAGAGAATTTAGGAAAACCTAAAAGTTAAGATTGGTTTTCCAGCTATCCAAAAACAAAACAACAGTAACAAAAAGGATTTTAATAGCTGTTGTTCAAGTCCAGCAAGATATGATTCTGACAAGTTTTTTTTTTTTTTAAATAGGCTTGTAAAGAAACAGATCAATATTTGTTGCTCCAAGCCAATGTCACAGAGCATCTCTGTATTGAATCAGTTTGGTAGAGGAGAAAAAAAATAACACTAGAAATTGAAATTTTTAATACCTTAGCAAAAGATTGTATGCCACCATTTTTTCTGCAGGAGAGAATCAGATAAAAATGCATGTATTTGACATGCCAATGAGAAAAATCAGAAAGTCATAGGAACACACTTGTCTTTTTCTTCCTAGGCTTGATGGTAGTCTCTTTTCTGTGAAGTCTTTATTTAACCAATAACATTTTCTATCTTGCTTATTTGAGCATGCATTTTATTTTTTTAATAAAAGGTTTATTATCTCCTTTTAAAAAGAAGTGATAGTTCATTTAGGTTGCTTCTGAATATTTATGTCTTCCTTCAATAAATAGAAATTAATCAGGCCTGAGCTAGTAGCTGAGAAGGTCAAGGAGGAAACAAAACTAAAAATAAACATTTGCTATGGATTTTTAAAAAATCATTTTCTTTTTGTTTGTATGTGTGCAGTTTCTCTAGTACTAGAGATAGATCACCTAGGCTTCATTGGGTCTGGATGCTGGTCAGGGCTTGAAATCAATTTGGTACACTCTCTTGGTAGCCATCAGTGGTGAATCACTAGGGAAACTGCAGAGTAACTGACTCACCTTGATACAAAGTAATGAAAAAGAAGAAAGAGGATGCTTTCATGTACATTGGGAATTGATAACTCACAAGATAAAGTTTCAGGGGTGCGTACCCCTTTTATGTTTTAATGCATTTTTTTATCAACCTAAATGGTTTCTCTTTGTATGGACTTGTGGGGTTTTTTTTGGTACCGAGGATTGAACTTGGGTCCTTGTGCTTGCGAAGCAGGAGGCAGAACCACTGAGCTAAATCCCCGGCCCTGTATGGACTTGTTTTGAGATCTATCAGACACACATAGTCACTACAGGTTTTGGGAAAAGCTTTACAATATTTGAATATCACTACTGTTACTGTTTAATCCTAAACCGTACTTCTTTTTAGAGATGAGTTAAAGTAATTTAACCTTTTCCTCTAATTTACTAGCCTTATCTGGACTACAACATTGGTTCTAGGTTACCATAAGTTAACTGTGGAGTCCACTGAGATACAAATATTTGTCTTAGTAGTTGACCTTCCTCACTTTTAGATTAACAAGAAAGTGGACAATATTTAGATGTAATTATAATGACTTGTTAATTCTATAAAGGTCTAGAAGAGAGACTAAAACTCAGTTTCCCCCACCATTTCAATTTCTTTCAGACACGATATTTTTACACATGACAACGTATGGTAAGCAGGAGATGTCAGAGTTCAAATTTCATTTTTTATATTAATTTGTCTATGACCCAAGTAATATATTATAATCATTGTATTTCTGGCCAAAGATGTTGAGTCTTATTTTCTGCAGGAAAAGAAAGACTACCTACATAGGACAATGTAGGACTAGAAAGACCACCTATATAGGCCAATCACTTAGGAGAGGTTTCTCTGTGCTCATTGTGGGAACATTTATGGTGTCCTCCATTCTTGGTGATGTAAATGAGGGGCAGATTTAGAAACTAAACCTAGATTTTCAGACCGACTTAGTTTTTTAATTTAACTTACATATTTTTTTGTGCTTTCCTTGTAGGAAATCGATATTTTATCAGCATGGAGATTAATCATTTGTACTCAGGAGCAGCAGAACTGGGGACTGATCAGCCATCAAGCGTTTTATAAACCAATTATACACACTCCTATTCCATTGCTCTCATCCCCATTTTACCTTCAGACTTATCCTACCTATGGCATTCAGGAGGCAAGTAAAAAACTTTGTGAAAAATTACTCAGATGCTGAAATAAAAGTCAGGGAAGCAACTTCTAATGACCCTTGGGGTCCCTCCAGTTCTCTGATGCTAGATATCAGTGACTTGACTTTCAACACGATTTCTCTCTCAGAGATTATGAATATGCTATGGCAGAGGCTCAGTGACCATGGAAAAAACTGGCGCCATGTGTATAAATCCCTCTCCCTAATGGATTATCTCATCAAGAATGGATCAAAGAAAGTTATTCAGCATTGCAGAGAGGGGTTCTTTAATCTTCAAATGCTAAAAGACTTTCAACACATAGACGAAGCTGGAAAAGACCAAGGTAACAGTTAAAGAAGTTATACAGTACACCAATAAAGATTGAGTTTGAGAGGGGTCATTTTAAACCAGGAAAAGGATTTTGTATTGTTTGTGTTGTTTTTTTTGTTTAACCAGGGTCTCAGCAGTGAACTATATCGCTGCTATTCTTCTTCTTCTTCTTCTTCTTCTTCTTCTTCTTCTTCTTCTTCTTCTTCTTCTTCTTCTTCTTCTTCTTCTTATTATTATTATTATTATTATTATTATTATTTTGAGGCATAGTCTTTCTGAACTGCCCAGGCTGGCCTCAAATTTGTGATCCTCCTGCCTCAGCCTTCCAGAGTGCTGAGATTACAGGTTTATGCCACCGGGTCTAGCTAATGGTGGTTCTTAAATGCACCAGCCACCTGTCCTCAGGAACAGTTAATCCTCTACATTGACTCTTCAGGGCTTTTGAGAACAATATTTTTTTCAAGAGGATGTACAAAACTAACACACTTAGGTTCCTGATAAGATGATACCTCAGGGAAAATGAATCAGGTGAAAAAAACAGGAGGCATTGGCAATTTGGTATAATAATGTCACTGTAACTTATAATTACATTGGAATTTAGTTATAAATAAAATATTCCCAAAGACTGTGAAATCTTCAAAGCCTATCTTTCTATATTGAAAGTAGTTATATGAATACTGAAATTTAGATCCTAAAATCTGTTTCAGGAGGGGGAGAGGAGGTGAAGTAGGGAAAGGATATATATAATATTGAGATGACGGGCCAGGGATTTAGCTCAGTGCTTTCGCCGCCTGCTTTGCAAGCGCAAGGACCGGAGTTCGCTCCCTGGAACCAAAAGAAAATATATTGAGATGTTTCGGTAGTGCCTGATACTCTGCAATGGTAGAAGAATCAGCACTTCCTCTCCATCTACTGTAAAATTATAATTTGGGTTTAAAGTGGGTAATCTTATGAATCACAAGAGGATAAAATTAATAGTCTATTTGTTAAGTGTACATTTTAAAACCAGATCTTTTTTAAAGGTAGTTTTAGATTTGTAGAAGAATTATACATAGAGTCTGCACATAACTCTCCCTACTCATTCATGATTTCTCCTATCATTAACATTTTGGATTTGTGTGGTACATTTGTTAGAACTGATGAACTCATACTGATATTATTAACTAAAATGCATATTTTACATTAGGATTCACCATGTGTTATACAGCTCTATGGGTTTTGGAAAATGTGTGATAGTGGACACTAGCCAGTTTCATACAGAATGGTTTCACTGCCCTAAAAATGCCCTGTGATCCATCTGTTAATCGTTTTCCTCCTCCTTCTGAATCCCTGGAAACCATTAGTCTCTACAGTTTTGCCTTTTCCAGATGTCATAAAATATGTAGCCTTTTCAGACTAGTTTCTTTCACTTAGCAATAGGCATTTATGATTTCTCTGTGTCTTTTCAGAACTTGAGAGCTCACTTTTTTCTTCCTGTTAATAAGAGCTTTATTGACATATAATTCACATACAAATTATCCATTTAATGTGTATAACTAAATGGTTGTTGGTATATTACATTATTTTTAAAATCATGATAAAAGATATATAATGTACATTTGCCTTTTTAAGTGTGCAATTTAGCAGTATTATATCCACAATGTTGTGCAATCATTACTCTATTTCCAAAACTTTTTTATAAACTTGAACAGTAATCATTAAGCAATAATTCCCTATTTCCATTCCATTTTAAACTGGGTTATTTTATTGTTGAGTTTTGAAAGTTCTTTGTTTTCTGGATATAAGACCCTTATCAGACAGGGTGATTTGCAGATATCTTTTGCCATTCGATAAGCCAGTGATGGCAAACCTTTTAGAGACTGAGCACCCAATCTGCAACACAAAACCCACTTATTTATCTCAAAGTGCCAACACTGCAATTAAACCTGAATACTGAGTTTTTAGTTTAGAAAAAACAACTTATACATTAACATCTTTTGTCTTAAAAACAAATAATATGTGTGCCATAGGTTTGCCACCACTGGCATAAGCTGTCTTTTTACTTTCTTGTTGTGTCTGTCCTCTGATGTACAAAAGTTTTAGATTTCAATGAAGTCCTATTTATCTGTTTTTCCTTTAATTGCGTGTACTTTATCATACAGACAAACCATTGTCTAATTCAAGATAATGAAGACTTATACCTATGTTTTCTTCTAAAAGATTTATAGTTTTAGCTCTTAAATTTAAGTCTTAGTTTCCTTTTGAGCTAATTTTTTATTGTGATATAAGGTAAAGAGCTAACTTCATTCTTTTGTACACAGATAGCCAGTTGTCCTACTATTTGTTGAAAAGACTGTTCTTTCCTCATTGAGCTGTACTGACACCCTTGTGAAAATCAGTCAACCACTGATGCATGGGCTTATTTCTCTACTCTGAATTGTTTCATCGATCAGTCTATTCTTATGCCAGTATCACACTATTTTGATTACTGTAGCTTTGTAGTAAGTTTTGATATCAAGGTGTGTGAGTTCTCCAACATTTTTTTCATTATAGTTTTATTGATTCTGAGTCTCTTACATTTCCTTATGAAGTTCAGCATCCGCTTATCAATTTCTCTCAAAAGAAGGAAGAAGACTAGAATTTTTTTAAATTCATTAAGTTTATTGTACATTTTAGGTATACAATATGATGACATTCATCATTGGGGGATTTGTACCTTTACTTGACATATCTTGGTTCTTATTTTTTTCCCCATTTCCCTGCCCTCCCTTCCATCCCTCCACCCCTCCCTATTTACAAACACTTTGTTTCCGTTTTTTCTTTTTCTCATATTTATTCCATTCTCTTCTACCCCTTCCACTTCCCCTCCCCCTTTGGGACTTATCTTCCAATTTCATATT